AGGGGCGGGAGGAGGGGGGTCGCGGGCGCGGTGCCAGGACACCGGCAAGGAGGTGCCCGGGGCGGGAGTCCCCAGCAGATGTCCAAGCTGTGCTCCCCTGGGTGAGACCTGCTGGCGGCGCTGTGGGGCGAAGCCACCTGTAGTAACCCGCTACCCCGGCCGCTCCTCCTAAGCCCAGGACGCCGGGTGTTTTGGAGGGGAAGCGAGATGGGGGAGGGGGCAGAGACCTGGCCTCGGCCAGGGGCATTGAGAGCATTCAGATGTTGCGCAATCATCACCACCATCCACCCCCAAAACCTCATCCTCCCAAACAGAAACCCTGACCCCGTTAACCGCTGACTCCCCATCCTACTGCTCTCGGCCCTGGCGACCGCCATCCCTTTTGTTCCTGTGAATCTGACCCCTCTAGGGGCCACACATGAGTGGAGTCACACAAGATTTGTCCCTTAGTGACTGGCTTATTTCACGTGGGACCATGTCCTAAGGGTCCACCACGCAGTCACTCTCCTTCCTTTTGAAGGCTGAGTACTATTCCTCTGTGCGTCTGCGCCAGCTTCACCCATCCACCTGCTGGAGGACGCGTGGGTCGCTTCTGCCTCCCGTGGTTGTGCCTGGTGCTGCTTCTCCGTTTCCTAGTTTCCTGGATATTCCTTCCTTTATGAAAAACCCTCGCCATCCTTATTGTCTGGTCTTTTTCAGACTACTGAAAACTTCCGCAGAAAGGGGCTCGCTGCTCAGCCAGAGTTGGGGGGCGGGGGCAGGGACGCCTGGGGCTGCGGCTATCCTCCTGGGTTGTCAAGGAGCCTCACCCCTTGAAAACCTGCTGCACTCCGTGCAAAAGTACTCACCCACCTGTGATTCGCCCCATGGACCATTAAGTCATAAATCGTAAAGCCCCCACTTCTACAAATGTGACTTTAAAACTTTGCTCCATGCCTAAGGGCTTTATTGTGTTTTGGAATGACATTTTTTCTGCAAGACCTCACGTCCAGCTGTGTCACTAAATTCCATGAGAAATGCAGTTCCAGAGACAGAATCGGCTCCAAGGGTTTCTTTCCATCCCGTGGGACCACAGACTTGTCAAAGGGGCATGTCCTGTCACTGCCCACCACCCATAAACCATGCCTGGGAGAGGTACAGGGGAGGAAGCAGGACTGGGGGTGGGGGAGCGCAGGCTGCCATCCCGCCCCCCGCCCCCACTCCCGACACACAGAGCCCAGGCCAGCGCTGCCCAGGGAGCTCAGAGCCAAGACTGCCTGTTGGAAGAGGCAGCGCTGGGCCGGAAGGGCCAGCCGGACTGGGCTGTAGCCCCACCCAGAGCTCCGTCGCCCAAGGCGGCAGCCTGGGTCCCTGCCCGGGCATGGGCTCTCTACACAGCCCACAGCTGAGGACACCTGCCCCAGAAGGGAGGTGGGGAGCATGTGCCTGGTGCCTCCCCAGGGCAGTCAGCGGCTGCTTGTACTTTTCCAGGACACACTTCCGCTGGTGGTGCTGCTTCCTGGTCCCAACACCCCCAGATCTGAGACCCAGCTGGAGAGAAGGTGACATCAATCACACTGGTTAGACCATGCACAGGTGTCCAGCCGGGGGCGGCCCCGTTAATGATGGAGAACAGCCAACGTCTGGGCAACTCAGGTGATCGTAGGGCAGGTGCAAGGTGAAACCATGTCACGTTCAGGGTGCTTAGACTTTAGAGGAGTGCTTGGGGTCCAGATATGGCGGCCCCTCTGGTCCCAGTGGGGCCACTGAGGCGGGGTGACCCGCAGAGAAGGGCTCTGATTTGGGATCCGTGCAACCTCATTTTCTGAGCGAAGAGGCTGGGTGCAGAGCCCTGGGGAGCCCTTCCGGAGTCTGCAGATGAGGTCCGCACTGAGCGAGGGTGGAGACCCTCCAGGCTCATGTTTCTGCTGCAGGCCACACAACCAAGGCCGCATGTCCCCACTGCGTCCGTGGGTCTAACTCCAGCTGTCCACATGACAGGGTGGGGCTCCTCTCCCTGCAGCATGGCGTCCTGCTCCCCCTGCGTCCCTGGGGAACAAGATCAGAGCTGTCGCCTCCTCTCTGGGCGCACTGGCCCCACCCATGGGAACAGCACGGGTGCGCCAACTGTGAAGCAAACGGCGGGGCCTCTGTAGCAGCCAAATCCGAGAGGTGTGGTCTCTACTCCTCCAGGTTTCTTCTAGGGACTTTCTTCACCATCACCATCGTCAACATTGTCACCACCCTCAACACCATCAATGTGATTACTATTTCCATTGCCACCGCCATCATCGCCGTCATTTTCACCATCATCATCGCCACCACCACCACCATCATTATCACCATCCTCAACACCGTCACCACCAGCACCATCACCACCAGCACCACCGTCACAGTCATCACCACCACCACCTGCACCACCATCACCACCATCATCATCGCCACCACCACCACCATCATCGCTGCCACCACCACCATTATCACCATCCTCAACACCATCACCACCAGCACCACCGTCAAGTCATCACCACCACCACC